AGAGCAGGGCCTTGTCAGCTTTTGCCCCCAAGCTATGAAATTCTCTTCCCTGGGACATTTGCCTGGAGCCAACATTGGCACTGTTCAGAGCCAGGCTAAAGCCACCCTTTTTACCCATGCTTTTACTGGGGTCTCTAATTTTAGTGTGTGTATATATATATATATAGAGAGAGAGAGAGAGAGTGTTTTAAAAATTTAGTAAGACACTTCCAATATTTTAAATAGAGAGGTGGGGTAAAAATATTTCAAATAAAAAATAAATACTGCAACTCTGTTCCTTCTTTTTCCTTTTATTGATAAAATCTTCAGTAGTAGTTACTAAAGGGCTGGCATCCGACTGATTGGTGGGTAAGATTTTTGACTCATACTGACCTGGGATTAGTGTCCAGTCCTTTGGGACAGCTGGGCCTAACATATGATGAATCTGTTTTCAATATCCACTCACTATATTAGACCTGGTGGTCAAGATGGGTATCAAAGGACGGAATATTTAAAGGAAACTGGTGGTATTACATAAGATGTTTTGTTACTGGCTTGGTGAAGCTTATTAGCAAATAAGCCACCAGTTTGGGAATTGCCTGCTCTCATGCAGTCTGTCCAAAGTGTAGCATCTTCAGTGTGGCCTGTACAGTCACCCAGTGTTACACACACAAGTCATCATGATATCGGAGGCCTTATCCATTGCATGGATTTTTGTAGCCAATGTAGCTACACCAGTGCAAGCAAAATGTAGATGCACTGCACTAATGTAAAATTAATTTTCATTTTATGGCTTGTCCCAGTTTCAAATAGTTTAACACTGATGATGCAGAGATGGAAAATTTTTGGGCATCAGCCCAAAACTGTAGCATGAATGTCAACTGAAACTAAGGTGTATAAAAAAAATCACCACTTGCCACTCTAAGTGCAAGGTGCTTTTTAAAAAAACTTTGTTTTCTCTACCATAAATATACAGCAACATGGAAATAAAAACTCCTATAACAAGGCACTCCACTGCACACTATTCTCCCTCTGGGAGAGGAAGAGAACAAACATATAACAGCTGTTAGTCTCATTGTTTGCTGCACTATTGAAAGATGCTCAGATAATACAGTGTCAGTCATGGCATTAGAACCAAAAGAGAATAGATTTGAATCTCACGGAGGGGGTAGTACAGGTGTAAATGTATTGATTTAGACAAGACTTAAGTGTTTCAAACAGATTAATGTATTCATCCTCACAACACACTCAGGGTGTTGGAAAATGCCATTATTCTTTCACTCTGCAGCTGGGGAACCTAAGGCATGGAGCGATTAAGTGATTCTCCCAAGATCAACCCAGCAGTCTGTTGTAGAGCCAAAAGGTGAACCTAGATATCCTGAGTGCCAGTCCCAATACACTTCTTTCAACACACAATCCCTGCACCTGCCCTGGAATACATTACAGTAGCCAAGATCAGGAGCATGCTATACCCCTCGTCCTGAGCACATGCCATTTGTTGGAGGCTGGAAGGATAATGGATGGTGTAGAGTCAGTTGTGCTACCTCTCTGCCTTTGAGGGATGGGGATTTTTCCCTGATGGTGACACTGTGGCCCTTCTGGCCCTTTTCACTACCAAAGCAGTATACACTCTGCATTGGCCCTACTGGGGGAGAGGAAAATGAGTGATAAAAGAAGGCACAATATAAAATAGGAGAGAAGGGTGGGGGGCATAATTATAATAGTTTGTAGGAAGGGAAAGTTCTTTTGGATGCTTACACTGACATTTGAGAACTTATTCACTCATTATAGATTTTGTTCAATAAATATTCAAATGTTTGTCCTAACAAATCCCTGAACCTATCCCATGTCGCCTCCCTTCCCCACCCCAATGAATTACCTCATCCTCCTGACACTATACAATTTGTCAAACATACTGGCACATCTGTATCAGAATGCCCCCCTTACCAGGTCCAAACATTGGTTACAGCTACTAGATGAATATGTAGTACTCCCATGGGAGATAACGCAGGATCCTGTTAAACCTCAGCCCCCTTTTAATTTCCAGCAGCCACTTTGAAGCTGATTTGTGTTTGAAAAAAGTCTCTGTTGTCTTTCAGCAAATATGGAGGACAATGGGAGAAATGAAATAAGAGCCACAAAACAACACTTTCATATATACTACTTGGTCAGAATGTAATCATTTCCACATCATGGAAACATATGGTGGGGAAGTACTCACGAAACATACGGAAATAAGTTTTTGGAAGTGACAAATAATTTTATTTAAAATAACTCTGAAGGGCATTTTTCATCACTCCTCTGGAGTAGCAAGGCCGCACTATGGCCAGTGTTTTGCACCTTACAGGATGAAACCTGTGCACACCTTCTGTTTCCTTGTTGACATTGTGCACTCTAGTGGCACATGTTATTTTTGTACTACTATTACCTTCCTAATACCCCTCAGTACCTCTCTCCTAAAATTCAAGGTCTCCAAAGTCTCCTTCTTTATTGGCCATTTTCTTTTCTGAATTATTTTCTGACCACTTCATTGACACACTTTCATGTGCTCACAAGCTCATCTATCCAGTCATACTCCATAAAAGCAAATTATTGAAGGCCAGTTTCTCCACCACTTTCTTGCCTGGGAGAACAGTTACTCAGGCTATGCCACTACTGCATAGTGTACCTTGCTCCAAGTATCTATGCCTTTGACCTGCAATTGCCAAGCTAAGTTCATGCTGCAGCAGTATGAATGTCTTATAGCTGTGATTGAAACAAAAAACAGGACTATGTAGCACTTTATAGACTAACAAGATGGTTTATTAGGTGATGAGCTTTCGTGGGTCAGACCCACTTCCTCAAATCAAATAGTGGAAGAAAATTGGCACAACCATATATACCAAAGGATACAATAAAAAAAATGAACACATATGAAAAGGACAAATCAAATTTGATTTGATTTTGTTAGTCTTTAAAGTGCTACATAGTCCTGTTTTTTGTTTCAGCTACACCAGACTAACACAGCTACATCTCTATCACTATTATATCCGTGATGTAACTTTCTCATGGGCATTGTGTTAACACAGCTATCACTGAGATTTCTAAGGTTCTTAACCCCTTGCTAGTCGGAGCTACTATGGGATATGGGTCATAGTATTGTGTTGTTTTGTGGGATGATTTGTCTGCTTGCCCTGGGATCCTGTACAGAAGTGTTCCTACTCCACAAACAAACCCAGCTGAGGCATTTCCAGTTCTGTCCCTGCTTTGTCTGGTCCTGCTAGAGGACAGCTATTGATCTAGCAAAGGTACAATAGCTTTGTTGCTCACAGCATCATTGTTATGGCAGGGCAGAAAGAGCATCAGAGAGACATTGGTCAACATTTCAGCAGCAGTTTCTGTCCTTTGAAGCAGCGGGCCTCGGTGCAGAGGTGCAACCCTGGAACAATTGGTGCCCCTAATATGTGCTGACATATCTGTGGATTCTCCTTCTAGACTGGAGCTTCTGAAGCAGGGCCACAAGTACAGACCAGTGGGATGTGGTTGTCACGAGGGTCTGAATTTATCTGAAGTGGACCCAGAACTTTGGCATTAGGAAAAACACATCTTTGTGTAGCTATATAAAGAGCTTGCATAAACCCACCACCACCGCCATCCATGCCAGGACACACTTCAGGGAGACCATGCCACTCCAGAAATAGGCTATTGTGGACATGCAGAAGCTGGCTACCCCAGACTTTTACAGAACCCAAGGGAACCATTGCTGCAGTGAAGCCTGCTGAATGTCATTAGGACTGTTCTTTGCCCATAGGATGTGGAGCATAACCAAGGTATCCAAAATAACTGCTTGCTTTGTGAGAATAGGCTTCCCAAACGGCACATGTACTCACAGTGTGTCCTCCACAAGGAGCAAGCAAATATATCAACACTTTGGTCAGCCAAGGCCTGCATAGCAATGGAGTAAGGATACAAAGAATACTATTCCATTGCTATGCAGACTGTGGCCAAATAAAGAGGCAAGTTTGTGGACACCAATGCAAACTGTAGTGGCAAGATGTGTGATAACACAGTGCTAACACCCGGTGTTTACCTATTTGGACAAGAACCTTATTTCTTCCAAATAACATGTTTATTAATGGGGTCTCGGTACTCACTCTTCCTGGAGTCAGCCGCTGATCAGTATTAGCAGTGGCTGACTTGGGGACACCTGGGGCAGAGAAGCTGGGGTGCTGCCGGGTTGGTCCAGTAGCACCGAGGAGCAGCGCTGCGGGACCAACCAGGCAGCACTCCAGCTGCTCTGCTGCAGGCGTCCCCGATTCAGCCGCTGCTGAAACTGACCAGCAGGGGCTGAATCAGGGATGCCTGGGGCAGAGCCAGACTATCGGAAGGGGAGGCTATGAGGGGTCTGGGGTGGCATCCCCCCAGCCCCACCCCAGATCCCTCATAGCCCCCCCTTCTGATAGTCCGGCATATCTGATAATCCAGCACCCCCTGGGTCCTAAAGGTGCCGGATTATCGGAAGTTTACTGTAGCATGCTACATTGTATTTGCAACTTGAAATAAGAACATTTCCACGTGGAGTAGATTCAAGTAGATCTCAGCTCACAAATATGAGGAAGGGATTGATAAGCAGTAACCCATACTTCAAGCTCAAACGAAAGAACACTGTATAATCGTAAATACGTAAAAAATATTGACTATATCAGATTAGTTTACCATTGAAGTAGTTGGGAGTGGTACATCCTGAATGCCAAAACACTATTTCATAATTTTACAAGTTAAAGGGCTCTGTCATTCAAATACTACAATATATTACATAAAGACATTATAATGCTGGAAGATATACCACAGCCAATCCCACAGTACACTATCTAGGGCAGAACGTGATTATATTTTTAATAACATGTCCTTATTGTGGTATCCAAGTGCCAGATAAAGTCATTGAAGTAAACACAAAGTTGTTTCTTATGCTCCCTTAAAAAAAACCACAGCAGCAGAACTTTTCAATGTTTAAAAATTGTACACAGGGCAAAACAAATGCATTTTGTTAGTGTAATCTTTTTTATTTTAGTTACTTTTTCACATATAACTTCATGTAAGCTACAAAAGATGTGAGATGCAGAAATTATAATAAAACTGCAAACTTAAAACAGTTTAGATAAAAAATGTGTCTTTTCCCCCTAACCATGACCATTAAAAATGAACCACATTTTGATGGATTCATTTAATAAACATACCATACACTTTTCAAAAATAAATAGAGAACAACATTAGAGAAACTAATACCATCAACAGCATGAAGTGTTTAGTTGATTGATTCATAAAGACAAATGATATCTCTAGGCACAGTTTTAGGCATTATAGAGGACACAGAGGCAATAGGTTAGTGTGCACTGTTCTGTACAAAAATACAGTCTGAATAAATTACATTGCTAGCCATAGGATTAGACTTCACTTACCAGTTAGATCATTGCATGTTTAATATACAATTACATGCTAATCCATATATCATTTATATTTCACACACATAGGTCTCTATATTTATGTCTTTAAAATTTACATGTTGAACTTACAAAAGCTAAACGTGGTTGTGTTACGAAATTGAAAAACTGGGTTGGTATTTGTCAGATAGTATACTTTAAGCTTAAAAAATAAAAATAATCAGTCCTGCTTGCAAATTCTCTATATATATATTTGGAAGAGAAACTATGGGTTTGTGGTGTGAAAAATTATCTTGCTAGTGAGAGAGAGCCAAATACAATTGACGTGATAAAGGCATGATACAAGAATAATATATAAAAATGATAAGTTTGTTGTATATACACTCCAACACAGGAGTGTTTTATTCTATGGGTAGAAAAAATATTTCAGCTTTACATTGTATTTACTTTTAGTTTAGTGCCAAAACATACAATATTTGGCAATCTTGGCCATGTTAGAAAAAAATAAAACAGCAGCATAAGTTAAAATTAGGTGCCTAGTTCCACATTCAGGCACTTAAATATAAAGGGCCTGATTCTGAGATGTTTCCCACATACAAATCCTTCTAGTTTTACAGAATTTAAGGTCAGAAGGAACCATTAGATCATCTGACTGACCAATATAACATAGGCTAAGAAATTCCACTCAGATGCTCCCGAGCTAGATCAAAATATTTCAGTCCTCAGGAAACTTAAAACTTTTGTGTGTCACCAGTGCCCAATACCTCTGCAATGGCAGTGAACTGACTAGGTGATTATGTGGTGATCACCTATATATTCCATTATCTTCAATGGAAGTCACAGGTATTCCGAACCTCTGAAAATCAGGCCCTGACTTTTGATGCCTAAATATGGATATAGGATCCTAACTTTAGGCAATCAAGTTCGACAATTTTTGCCTGGAGGTCTTTTATGTTATGATTTCTGTGTTTTCCAGCGTATATACAACTTATGTGTATATACTTTAGTCCACTGAATACGTTCTCTCACAGACAGAGAAAGAGGGAATTTATTAAGATTAGTAGATATGACATAGGTCTATCATTTTATGACTTTTTCTCCTTGTACTAATCAAAGTGTTGTGTAACAGTCAGCTCCAAAGCACTAGAAAGGAATAGAGATCCACTCACAGTAGACTTCTTAAAAATTGGCCTAATTCTTATTCTATCACACAATGTTTCTCATTCTGCTAAATAAGAGCAGTGTCATGCTGTAGTCCAGAAAGATTTAACCACATTCCAGACCTCAGCATTAAGTCACTCTGAGGAAAAAATGCAGCGTTCCAAATATTCTCAAATGCCTGAGAGATAAAGTGAAACTCCTCCTTCCTTCCCCTCATGCCCTTTTATTCTCGTCCTCCAGCAGGCTGCACAAAAACACTTAAGTGAAGCTATCATTTTGCTTTGTCATCCTAGTCTAGCTAAACATCACTGATCCACGGAAGAGTGCTGATGCTGACTGTTCTCTTGTGATATTGAACACTGTATCCCAGAGAGGCCAAGGTTTGTTAAGAACTGGGTCTTTTCTGACAGAGAAAATGTAAAAGGAACAAACTACAAGCAGGTTTATACTTCTTCTATACCCATTGCTGAAAAGCTTCTTTCTGCAAATGTGGCGAGTACATTTAATACTATAGGATGAGGTCCTAATGTAAAATAATTCTGCAGTCCTTTTATGGACCCAGCAATACATCAAAACTATGAAAGCATTTTTACAGCTTCAAAATCCCTGTTCTTACAGAGGCCCAACTAGGATATATTTTAAATTTCTCCATTAACAAAAATAACTTCTAAAGTTGTGTATTAGAACGGTATAAAAATAGGTTCACAATTAATTCAAAGTACCCAAATAAGCAAATATTAAACAAAAATAAAAGTTATGCTGCTATGTAAGTCAATTTAAAAATTCCAAACTTGGGTCTCATTTCATTTGTATAGCGTCTGGAAACAACTTAAGTAGGAAACATTCAGCAAGTAGTAATTAGACACATGTCAACCAACCCTTTACACTCAGAGATAAACAAATAATTGAGTTTACAGACTATGCTGATAACATTTTTATACTGTACATAACTAGATCTCAGCTACATTCTTTCAATTAGAGACAAACTAACTGGATTTTTAGAAAGTGGCAGTCTCTCACCATTAAACAGCTTTTTAAAAAATAAATACTTTTAATAAGTACCACATAACTACTTATTTAAGATTTAATCCAATTCCACTTCAACTTTATATGAACTTTTAGACATTTCCCATTAAAATAGAGCATGTATAAGGGCATATAGAGAGAGCAACCAATTTCATGTTTATTTTGTATTATTGACCCAAATGGAGATAGCAGTCCAAGACTCTTAAGGAGGCATATAAAGTTAGTGCTTTAACCGCTGCACCACAGCAAATATTATTATTCTGAGATATAATAATGTGTTTCTTCCTCTGTGCAGATGTTTATATTTTATATATATTCATTTATACTAACCAATGCCTTCTATAAAAATAGCTGGACTTGTTATTTATGTATTTTTACCATACAGTTTAGAAATTAAAAGGGCATGGTGACAAATGCAGCTCATGCATGCATTTTATTTGGCTCAGGGCAATTCAAGGCCCCCTCTTAATCTTCACCCAACCCCACAATACTCAGAGCTGAGAAAACTTCCAGCTATATAATTAAAAGCATGTGTCTCCAGATTTTGACTTCCCTTGCAGGATCTTTCACAGTTGACAGGAAGATGTGGATTGCCAATACATAAACTCCCATATTTTTTCAGCAGACTGTCCAATGCAGACATCAGGAAAGTCATTGATCATTTACATTCACTGCTCCCAACTCATGGTCATTTGCAACTAATTCCACGAGCTTTTTCTAGCAAGTAAACAGGATCCTACACCACTTATTGATATAAGATGGCACCGCCTGCTCCTCATGACATCTGTATCCTCCATGATACAAGGAAACTTGTAAATAGAGCTTATGTCAGCTGCTCCCCTGCAGGCGACGGTAGATGCAGGCATTACATTTTCATTCCAACAACTTTCCTCACAATGATCGCTGTCATGTAGATCCTTTGCTTGTTGTCAAGCAAAATGACATTATGTATCAGTAGCTTGCAACATTTGCCTGTGTAAGATCAGCAATCTTAATTTTCGCAGTTATCTTAAATGGATGTAAAAGCTAGTGTGTTTGCAGCCAAAAGGCAAAGGCTATTAAATCAAGAGCAGATTGCTTAGTGCTCCACAAGAATTCTAAAAAACAGTGAGTTAGAAAAGATGGAGTAATCCTGTTGTTATTTTTTATTCTTTTTCTCCAATGAAAGTAGTTCTAGTAGTAGTCTTCATAGTTCTTAGGGTTCAGGCAATAAAGGAGGGCACCCCCAAATGAAAATATAGTTGCACCCCAAGCCAAGCCATAGCCCCAGTTGAACTCATGGTATATTTTCAAGCTGACTGTCTCGATGAACTTGATTGGATAAAGGACTAGGCTGCACACCTGGAGAACAACTGAAAAATAAATTAGCCAAATGTCAAAAGAGGGCTTTTACATATTTTACATAAAAACACAACAAATATTACATTACCAAAACTCACATTAAAAATGCCTTTGGTTACATGAAACTGCCCCAGTTAGCATCTAAAGAAATAGCAGCTTGCAGATGTAGAGAGCAATTACATGAGCTGTAACAAATTTGGATCCCACTTTTTGATACATTTGTGTAAAGGATGTTAAGATAGCTCAAGGAATGTCAGACTTTCATTCCACCTGTCCTCTCTACTTTCCCATCCCTCTTTCTGCCCTCTCTCCTTTTTTAAAAAACAATGTTATTCCTCCCTTCCCCACGTATACACACAGCCCAACATCTTATTTCTGTGTAATATTGCCTGGTCTTGAAGCTTTAACAAGTTGTGAAGTTGAATAATCGCATATTTTAATTGGCTATCCTGTGAAATGTGAGATATTTGGTAATATATACAAGCAATAAGTCATTTACCTTTTTATATTTAAAAAAACATATAAAATGCCTTTGGTTTAGTTTTCATTTGTCTGTATTGCTCTATTTGTATATAAAAACAAACTAATACAAATTTTATTTAATCACTAGAGGACATAGCAATTCCTATATATTCCCCAGGAGATGAACAAATGTTATTGCTACTGTATAATAATATGACACTTTAAATCTTTGAGGAACAAACAGTAACAGCAATCTCTTCACCATTTCTTTTTCTCAACTTGTTTTTAGTTTGGATTCTCTCTTTAATAACACTAAAATGACTTACTTAATAGCTATCATAACTAGACTGCCATGAAGATAAGGATTAATAAAGTAGGGATGTTAGAATTTATTTTAATAATCATGTAACCCCCAACAACTCTTAGCTGTTACACAGTAAGAAAAGCTGGACATGCACAAATCCATGGGACCGGTTCCAAAGCATCGGAGGATGCTGAGGGAGTTGGCTGATGTGACTACAGAGCCACTGGCCATTATATTTAAAACTCATGGCAATTGGGGGAGGTCTCAAATGACTGGAAAAAGGCAAACATAGTATTCATCCTTAAAAATGGGAAAAAGAAGACTCCAGAGAACTATACACTGGGAAGGCTCACCTCATGCCACAGAAAATCAGGGGTAGTGGGGGAGATCCATTTTGAAGCACTTGGAAGAGAGGAAAATGATCAGGAATAAGCAACATAGATTCACCAAGGGCAAGTCATGCCTGAATCAACTTGATTCCCTTTTAATATGAAGTAACAGGCTCTGTGGATATGGAGAAGTCAGTGGATGTGCTATACCTTGACTTTAGCAAAGCTTTTGATACAGTCTCCCACAGTATTCTTACCAGCAAGTTAAAGAAGTATGGATTGGATAAATGCACCGTAAGATGTATAGAAAGCTGACTAGACTGTCAGGCTCAATGGGTAGTGATCAACGGCTCAATGTCAGGCTGGCAGTCAGTATCAAACGGAGTGCCCCAAGGGTCAGTTCTTGGAGCTGTTTTCTTCAACATCTTTATTAATGTCCTGGATGAGGGGATGGATTGCACCCTCAGCAAGTTCATGAATAACATTAAGCTAGGGTAGGAGGTAGATACATGGAGGGTAGAGACACGGTCCAGAGTGACCTAGAAAAATTAGAGGATTAGGGCCAAAGGAATCTGATGAGGTTCATCAAAGACTAGTGTGGAGACCTGAACTTGGGATGGAAGAATCCCAAGCACTGCTACAGGCTGGGGAGTGACTGGCTAAACAGCAGTTCTGCAGAAAAGGACTCGGAGATTACAGTGGATGAGAAGCTGGATATGCATCAACAGTTAGCCCTTGTAGCCAAGAAGGCCAATGGCATATTGGGATGCATTAGTAAGAGCATTGCCAGAAGATCTAGGGAAGTGATTATTCCCCTTTATTTGGCACTGGTGAGGCCAGTTTTTCAGCACTGGTGAGGCAACATCTAGCATATTGCATCCAATTCTGGGCATCCTATTACAGAGAGGATCTGGATGCACTGGAGAAAGTCCAGTGAAGGGCAACAAAAACGATGAAGGAGCTGGAGCACATGACTTATGAAAGGTAAGGATGTTAAAGAGCAGTTATTTGGCTAATTATGTAGTTGATAAAGGCAGCTCTTAGTACATTTAAAATGCAGAGCTGCAGTGGTCCCAGACTGGCAAGAGCTGAGACTGCTTGTTCCTGGCTCACGTCAGGTCCAGCAGCCCCTATTTGCAGTGGCCTGAGTTGGCCATGGGCAGAGGCTGCTCCAGTAGCAGCCCCTGTCTGCAACCACCCTTAACTGCCACAAACAGAGGTTGCTCTGGTAGCAGCCCCTGTACACAGTGGCCGGGACTACTGCCTGAGCAGCTCCTGCCCGTAGCCAGCCCAGGCCACTGTGAACAGAGGGAGCGAGGGGGAGGAGGGTTGAAGTGAGTAGCTGAGTACTCCACTCAACTACCCAATAAGCTTATGCATATCAGGTAGTCAAGTAGTCAAATACTCGCTTAAGGTACGTCTACACTCCAGCACTAATTCAAACTAACTTAATTCGAATTAGTTAATTCAAAATAAGCTAATTCGAACTACTGCATCTAGACCTAAAAACTAAATCGAATTAGCATTTTGCTAATTCGAACTAGCATGTCCACATTGAATGGACCCTGAACCAAAATTAAGGCTGGCCGGAACCAGTGCCAGCAGGGCATCAGGTTAGGACTTAGAGTGTGGAGTTGCTGCCTCAGGCTAGCCGAGGACTGCGCTTAAAGGGACCCAACCCCCATCCCGGACAGACAGTTCTCAGGGTTCCCCGCTTGCTTGTCTACCTCGATGAGGGACAGCAAAGCAGTCCTGTCTTGGAGTTCCCTGAGTGCCTGCACTCGGCACATCGCAGCGCTCGGCCATCAGCCCGGCTGCACTTGCCGCAGGCTGCCATCCGGGGGGGGGTCAATCGGGAAGCTGTCGGATCCAGGAGGCCCTGCAGGAGAGTTTCCGCCCCAAGGAGCCCGCAGAGCCACCCCAGTCCTCCCCATTGGGGGCTCGTGCCCCATTCCTCCCTCACCTCCTTTCACTTACACCTCCATAGCCCCCCTTCCTGATGTAAAAAATAAAGGACACGTGTGTTCAAAAACAGAAACTCTCTTTATTTAACAAAACTGGGGGGGGGGGGGGGAAGGAATGAAACTCTGGTGAGACTGGGGAAAGGAGGCAGGATAGGGGAGAAGGGCGGGGGGGGGAGG